CCCCTCGTCCTCCTCCTCCTCCTCCTCCTCCTCCTCCTCCTCCTCCTCCTCCTCCTCCTCCTCCTCATCCGATTCGCCAGCCTTGTCCCTCCTGCCTCATCAGCTCGCCTGGGGGTCGTTTCTGGATGGGCTGGCTGGGGCGCGCGAAGCGTCGGGAATTTTGGTGGAGGGGCGCGGTGGCCGACGAGGGAGACTACGAGGAGGACTACGAGGAGGGCGACGGGGGGATGGAGAGGGCGACGAGGAGGATGTGGGCCGCTCGCTCCGTTTCCGACGAGGGAGAGGGCGAGGTCGGCGCGCCGCTTGCCCTTGTTCCGACTGCAACCTCGGCCCTCGGTCGAAGAATGATTCCTCGACGGGGTCGCGCAAGGTATGCCGATGCACAAAAAGCTCGAGTCGTCGGTCGTCGCGAGCAGAGGCCCTGAGGAAGTCGTACACCCCAGCCCCCGATGGCCCGTCAGTCGTCGACGATCATCTCGCACGTGACCATGAGGCTGACCTTCACGCCGCGCCGAAGCGGCCGTTCAGCTCCAACAGTGTCTGGGCCGTGCGAAGCTTGCGGCCCGCGTCGGTCAGGAAGGCCTCGGGAGGCACGAGGCCCAGACCCTCAGAAGGCCCCGAGAGGGCGCGCATGTGGCCCCGAGAGGCGGGGCGTCTGGGAGACCACGCTGCGCTCTCTCAGGCCCTCTAGGGGCCATGATGAGATATCTTGGGCACTCCAGGGTAGCTACCCTGGCTTAAGCCGCCTCGCTCGCTCCCGCACGCCCCCCCCAACGCACAAGTAGCACCTGTGCCCGTGGCCTCCAGGGCCATGAAATCTAGCGCAGGGGCCGATGGCCCTGGAGTCTAAGAGCCCTAAGAGCCCTAAAAGCCCGACGCGCCCTGGGAACCCTGAGACTCTCAAGAGCCCTAGGTGCCATAAGACACTTATAGGAGCCCTGAGGGCCTTAAGTGCACAAGGAGCCCTGGGCGCCCAAAGAGTCCTTAGAGCCCCATGAGCTCCGCGAGCCCCAAGAGCCCTGAGGGCCCCGAATGATCATGGGGGGGGGCCCCAATAGCCCGAAGAGTCGCAAGGTCCTCAGAGCCCGAAATGCCCCAAGAGCAACCAACAGAGCTCCATGATACATTCGAGTCATCGGGGCCCTAAGAGCCCCAAGAAAAGCCGCGCGAACCATAAGAGCCCCAAGAGCCCTCAGAGCCCCGCGCGCCCTCGGTGCCCTAAGGGCCATAAGAGCCCTGAGAGCTCTGGTAGCCCTGGGGGCCCTAAGAGCCCCAAGACTCCTAAGCGCCCTAAGAGCTTTAAGATCCCTGATAGCCCTGAGGGCAAACGGAGCTCTAAGAGCCCGAAGAGGCCTCAGGGGCCCTGTGATCCGTCGGAGCCCGATGAGCCCTAGGAGCCCTATGAGCCCTACGAGCCCTAAGGGCCCTAAGATCCCGAAGAGCCCTAAGATGCCGAACGCGACCGCGACCGCGACGACGGCGACGACGAGAGCCCATAAGGAGGAAGAGGAGGGCGGAGGAGGAGGAGGGATGGGGGAGGATTGCCAAGTGCGTTATAGGCTCAAAGGGGCCTTCAGTAGCCGCGGCGACCTTGGCCTCGGCGGTCGTGCTCACGTAGCGGATGGCACTGCCGACGCCGTTCTGGACCTTCTCGATGTCCTGCGACATGCACTGCAGCCTGGCCTGGGACGCGTTCATGTCGCCCTTGATGTTCTGGCGGAACTCAGGGAACAAGCGATGGCCTACCACCCTGTTGACGGCCGTCAGCGTCTCCGTCACTTTTTTCTCGATGTTGTCGGCCAACTTGCCATTCGCCGCCGCCACCTTGCGGCTCTCGGCGGCGGCCTTCATCTCCTGCTTGGCCCTCTCTTTCTCCTCCAGCGCCTTCTTGCGCTCCTTCTCCTTCCTCGCCCGTTCCTTCTTCGCTGTCTTCTTTTTCTGCTTCTTCGCCTTCTTCGCCTTTTTCTTTTTCTTGTTCTTCTTGTCGTCCGAGCTGCTGCTCGAGTCCGAGCTGGAGTCCGAGTCGTCGTCGTCCGAAGGCCCCTCATCAGGCTCCTCGCCGGCGTCAACGACCGTCGCCTTCTTGATCTTCTTGGAGGGGTGCGAGGCCTCGGCGACGTGGGACCGTTCGGTGCCCCTGGCTCCACGATGGTCTCCAGACAGGATCGGGGCGCGGTACGTTGCGCCCAAGACCCTGCAATGCCTCCTGTCCGTCTCCAGGCTGTCGGCCTCGATGCGCGCGGGCGGCATCGAGGCCGCGCGTGCTCCGCGCGCCTAGGGGGAGGAACTCCCCTCCCTCGGCGTTGTAGTCCTCGTGGTTCTCGTAGCTCCGAAGGGGCCCCTTGACTTTGGCGACCACCGTCTTCCCGCTGGAGACGTCGCGCACGTCCTTGAAGAAGGCCTGCTGCGTCTCCTCGCCCAGGCGCTTGAAGTCGCTGCTCGGGAACTCGCCGCACTCGCGGCTAAGCTGCGTGATGTGGGCATTGCAACGGTCGCACCTGCACTTCTGCTGCGACTTGCCCCTCAATCGAGCCCTGTCTGCAGTTACCTCTTCGTTGCACCACCCGCATCGCAACCGAACGTCATGCATGAACGTGTGGCGCGTGATCATCGTCGGCTCTGGGCGCATCTGGACGGGCGGCGGCGGCGGCAATTCTGGGAAAGGCGCCCCAGGCGGGGGCTCCTCGGCGGCGGCGTCGCCATCGAGCGGCGGCGCGTCCTCGGGCGCCTCGGGGGGGGCGCCCGCTGCGTCGGGCGGGTCGTCGGCGCCCCGCGGCGCCATCATGCTCAAGACGGAGACGACCGCCACCCTCGCCTTGGGCTTGGCCTTCGGCTTCGGCTTCGCCGTCGCCTTTGGCTTCGGCTTTGGCTTCGCCTTTGGCCGCGCCCCAGCCTTCGCCGCCGCCGCGGGCATCGCCTCCGCCCTCGGCGGCGACGCTGGGCTTGGCGGTGGCACCGAGCCCGCCCCGTTCACCGCCTCAGCGGGCACAACCTGCGTCTCCTGGGGC